ATAAAGTTATATTAACCTTAAATATTAATTTTTTCATGAACATACAAAGTATAGCTTCACTTATTAGATATTTTGTTAACAAACTATAAATAATAATAATGCTTGGACAGTTGAATTGGTCTAAGCAGCCATTTTTAGGTATTAAACTAAAAGGACATGGATTCAAATTTTGTGCTTGACCAAACAGATATTATTTTAATTTTCAAGTTTCCTCCATGTTGTTAGAGATGTACGTCGGGGTGGGCGATCCACTAATCTATCTACCATAATTTTACTTAAACTAATTAAAAATTGATTAATAATATTTAATATTATATATTTATAATTGTTTTCTATATTTTAATTGAGTATTATATTTAAATATTATCTTTTTATATTTTATTTTAATAAATACTTAAAATTTTTAATTAGAATTATTTTAATATTTTACAATTTTTTTAAAAAAAAATTATAAAAACAGGTAAAATAAATTGATAATGGATAAAAAGTTGTAATTATAGAGTAGGTGACAGACATAGAAAAAAACTTTTAAGCATCTTGGCCATTGGATTGAGTATGAAATTATATTTTTAATAAAGATGAGAGTATTTGGGACTGATGTATGCGTTTTATATCGACTTTGTATCTATTCCTCCACACAATTACGTGAATAGGGAAGTTTCTTAATGCATCCCACGTGGTATTCGTATGTGTAAAGGCCCCGAACTTAATAAAATAAAGTCATAAATTAAATGTAAGAGCGAGATAATAGAGTTAGAGTTTACATTCCTTACACAATAACTTAAAATACCTGATTGGGTTAAGGGAATGTTTATTTTAAAATAACAAAAGAAAATTAAAGAAATAAATAAAAGACAAATAACTAAGCAATCGTAGAACGACCTTTACTATATCTTGAAGGAAGTTCGAGTGGTGACCTATTTACAATATCCTTCTTGATCGGGATATAGATCTTGGTCATCTTGATTTGAAATAGTTAATGAAGGGGTGAGTAACACTAGCCCAGTAAAAATATCACATTAATCACAAATCCAAAAAACTGAAGATTGGTAAAAATCAGAAAAATACCAATAGCGCCTCTAATTTAATGTAAATTCAATTACTATAAAGAA